ACATTTTCAAGTGACAACCATAAGTATATATTATAGAAAATATACGTATAGTATTATATTTTCTACATTCGACATTATAATATAACATTTATTTGACTGTAGATATATCAAACAACAATCATAGTATGTTAAAAACTTAAAAAGTGAGGTTAAAAAACATCCGATTTCCGATAAAAGTTAAAATTATTTCTACTTTTTCCGACGTCGTATGAATTTTAAAAATTTCGGATGAAAATGAGCGGTAAAAATTTGAATGTATATTAACCAATAGGAACACTTTCGGACCTTCGTATCGTCGGATTTCGGATGCATGCGACACCGGCCTAATACAAATCTCCACATTCCAAAATCTAGACTGATATTTACTCCACAATTACGAATAAAAGTCGATCAGTTTGCATATCAAACATGTTTAGTTTTTTCTTTAATGTTTCCTAAATATTTTAGAGAAGAGAAAGATATGAAGATGTCTCGAGAGATTCGTTGATATCTATTATCATAATTTTTTGTAATTTTTGAGTAATAAATTTCTCTCAATAACGTATTATGCATCAGTGAATGACCTGATGTAGGAACATTACATTGCCATCACTTGGATTCGGCTACTATATGTCCTGTACCGGCATTTATCCGTATTTGTAAAGGTGGTTGCCTAACTTACAAATCAGAGTAAACGGATTTTATACGGGTATAACGGGCAAAACTATTCCAATAGTATATATATTTTTTAATTAATGGAAACTATATACCGACTTGATAAATCATATGTCGAATACAGATGTTCAAAAACTTGATGGCCTTTTTAATGTATTGTTTGTTCTCCATTATCAACACTTCATTTTAACCTAGAAAGAGTATGAATATTTTTATTAGTCTAGCTGTTCTATTTTTTTAAAATAGCCGCTTGAAATATATTATTTAATTTATCCTGGCCTAAATTTGGCGTTGATCTTCCAGTGATTTAGAGTAAAACAAATATCTTCCGCACTGGATATGCAGAAGTACAGGATGTTCAAAAATTCATGTACCTATTTATCAGAATTGGTGTATTGTTTACAGAACTGAAGCTATAACCCCAGATTAATTCAAACTATAACCTTGACCCTGCTTTCCGATTTTGTTTTTGTTTGTTGTTATAGTTTTTATTCCGCTATTTTTGAAAAAAGATACAGTTTTAGTAAAATTAGAATTTTCAGTCTCTTCAGTTTGGTTGGATGATACTCTTGTGTTCTTTATTACATCGTCTTGCTGTTGTAAGATAAATGTGGCTCTCATTTATTATCTTGACGGGATCGACAGCGACATTTTATTAATCCAGCTTAGGGTTGGCTCAAGGAAAAACAGGGCCAAGTAAGCGGCAAAAAGAACTGTAGAATGAAAGGGACAACAGGGAAAGTACCTATGTAAAGTACATTAATAGATTTATGGGAATAAATACCTGCGTCAAAGTGAGAGCCTGTCATAAAACAAGCAGTAGATCTAACAGATCTGGGTTGTATTTCAAGAATTTATTTATATTTAAGTAGAAACGAAAGCAAAAAATTAAAGGGGCAAAAGAATTTCCGAAATGTTTCCGTGATTTTTGACTGACTGTATTTCTGTGAAAAGTGGTCGTATCGGGAAGTAAAAAAAAGCATTTTTCATCGAAATATCTTACTTTTAATGGAAAAGGATCCTTTTGTCTTCAATCATCGATATCGCGACGACAAATGGTCGTACAGAGACTTGAAGGGCAGTTTCGAAAACTGGAATAAATTTCCTATAACATGCTGGCGCAACTTTTCGGAAAACAAATTTTTTTTCACCTTTTACACGAATTTAAAAAAAAAAACAGGAAAAAAAGGGTAATTTATGGTTTTTTAGAAAATTGCCGGCTAAATTAGAAATATTCACGAAATGACTAATTTTAAGCATAACTTTTCGACAGTTCGATATACCCAGAAGAACCCTGTGAAGTTTCATCTCGATCTAGCGAAGCTTATCTTTATTTCAAACAGTCAAACTTTTGAAAAAAATTAAAGGGTCACGTTGTTTGAGCTTAAACATTTCATAATCATGATTGAAATGAAAAAAATATATATTTGAGTTTTTCTCACATTTTTACGGCAAATAACGTTTAAATTGACGAAAAAAAATTGACCATTTAATTTAAGTCCGTCTATCGTGCTACTTCCCACTAACGTCATTCTAGAATTCTGTGACCTACAATTTTCTTTCAAGAAAACATAAGTTCAATTATAATATGCCATAGTTGTCTTGAATAATTCCTACATTAATATTAAATTTTAAATATATATACAGGGTGTCTGCAAATTACACCGACAACGTTTGACTGCATATTCAGGACAATAAATAAGTACGATCTACGAAGTTAAATAAAAACTTTTTGGTTTTCGAGTTATAGGCCTTCAAAGTTGTCAAAAATAAAACTAATTTAATTAATAACTTGATAACCGTTTTACCGATCGCGTTAAAATTTGGTACATTTATTTGAATTATTATGGCGTATTATTTCTTATAGCTTTAATCAAATCGATAATGAATTTATAATGAACTGCAAGATATATTGTAGCTAAATTCCGAGATAATAAATTTCAAAACTATAAAAGAATTGAATTAAATAATATACATTTACAAATAATATAAATTCTAAGAAAAAATATAGATTACAGCAAATATCTCACATATCTAGTTTGACGAAAGTGTATACATAGTCGAGGCAATGAAGCACTAAAAAGGCCAAAAGTTCGGAATTTTTTCCATAAAGACGGATCGGAATACGGTTTTTTGCATTCTCTTCCAAAAATTTTTTGTAAAATATGTGGCTACTTTGTGTTTCTGACAAACCGGAAATTGCATTGCTGCAGCCAAAAATGCATTCAAAAAATGCATTTTTTGAGACGCCTTTTGGAAGATTTCAAAACTTTGTAAATAAGAGACAGAACTGGCCCAAATCGGGTACTCGGAGGTTTTCAAGGTCGCTGATCACGATTATGATGTTCAAATTGACCCCCCGAACACCTGGAGCTCAGGAATGCCGATGAACGCTGAATTCAAATATGCCATCGTCGAACACCCCCCGGACATCTGGTGCGCCCGAACCTGGACGTGGACGTCATCTCCGAGAATTTTCCTGACAAGATTGACAAAAACAACCCAAAAATCATTGTGGGGGCGTTTTTTGGGGCGCTTAATCCAAATTTCACGTCGAACACGACCACCTGTACACCTGGTGCACCGGAATCTGGACGTGGACCTCATCTCCGTGGGTTTTCCTCGCACAATTGAAAAAGACAAACCGAAAATCGATATGGGGGGGTTTTTGGGGCGCTGAATCCGAATTCCACGTCGACAACGACCCCCCAAACACCTGGTGCACCGGACCCTGGCCCCGAACGTCTTCTCCGTGGGGCTCTCCCAAAATTCAAGCGGGGAAGGAGAGAAACTCAGCGCCCGGGGGTTTCTTAGGTCTCTGAATTCAAATGTGGCATCGGCGAGCACCCCCCGGACACCTAGTGCGCCCGAACCTGGACCTGGAAATAACTCACGTCGACAACGACCCCTCGAACACCTGGTGCACCGTAACCTGGGCCTGAACGTCGTCTCCGAGGGTTTTCCAGACACGATCGCAAACACTAACCAAAAATCAACAACTCCACACAGCTGTTGCAGTATTGATGTCAGCCTCTAAGACATCAGGTTTGGTTGACATTCATGGGAATAATATCGATGTCAAGATAAAAGTTCGGGTGCACCAGGTGTTGGAAAGGTACTTTTCGACGTGAAACCTGGATTCAGCGCCCCGAAAAACCGTTCATAACGATTTTGGGTTCGTCTTCTTCGATTGTGCCTCACACAATCGAAACCCCTCGGAGACGACGTTCAGGCCCAGGTTACGGTGCACTAGGTGTTCAGGGGATCGTTTTCGACGTGAAATTTGGATTAAACGCCCCAAAAAACGCCCCTACGATGATTTTTGAGTTGTTTTTGGCGATCTTGTTAGGAAAATTCTCGGGGATGACGTCCACGTCCAGGTTCGGCCGCACCAGGTGTCCGGGGGGTGTTCGACGATGGCATATTTGAATTCAGCGACCCAAAAAACCCCCGGGCGCCGAGTTTCTCTCCTTCCCCGCGTGAATTTTGAGAGATGACGTTCATCGGCGTTCCTGAGCTCCAGGTGTTCGGGGGGTCAATTTGAACATCATAATCGTGATCAGCGACCTCGAAAACCCCCGAGTACCCGATTTGGGCCAGTTTTGACTCTTATTTACAAAGTTTTGAAATCTTCCAAAAGGCCTCTAAAAAAATGCATTTTTGAATGCATTTTTGGCTGCAGCAATGCAATTTCCGGTTTGTCAGAAACACAAAGTAGCCACATTTTTTTTACAAAAAATTTTTGGAAGAGAATGCAAAAAACCGCATTCCAATCAGTCTTTATGGGAAAAATTCCGAACTTTTGTGCTTCATTGCCTCGCCTAACATTTGAATAGAATAAAATAACATTGACAGCAAATAATTCCATTTAAAACTATCTGTTCATTTAATCCAAATATATATTTTTTTCGGTGTGGTATCTTCCAACAAAGAAGTGAAGAATAATATCTAGTCCGTATTTATCCAATTGCGATAATAAATTCGTGCAATTTCGCATCATTTTCCACCCACTTCAATAAGCTTTTTAAGCGGATCTGTACCAAAACTCGACTTAGCCCTCTACGGCGTCCATCCTACATGTATCTGGATATTACTCGAGGTATCAATCAATTCCGTGCGCTTTACTACATTAACGCAGACAGCCGCTACCCTCTTAACGGCATATTGTATCATCTCCACCACCGTACGTAGTAAAGTGGGCATCTCTGGATATCAATGAAATTAGGCACCCACGTTTTATCGATTCCCGCATGCGCTCCTTTATTGACGGGGGTGTCTGCTCCTGCGCAGCTGCTCTTAGAATGGTCCCGGCGCCTCCGCGATAGTTAAATGTCAGAACAGTCTAACCGTTCATGTGGCTGTGAGAGGTGTTGCCGAGAACATGGCGCGACTTGTCCCGACTGTTTATTTAAAATGTCTAATGATTTGTAAGTATTTTGTCGGGCCTGCCCTCCTGCATGCTAGAAAGCTTTGCAAGATATTTATTTAACTCTTTTGATTATTCGACCAGTTGTTTGATGGTGTTAGAGATTTCATTGTTACCAGTAAGGCTTGATTTTTCGTTTCGTTTGCGTCTGTGAAATTTTCTTCAATTGGATTTTATTTCACTATTTCTTTCTTAACTAACTTTTCTCAATTTCTCCGAAAATAGGCAATGTAGTCGGAACGGTAACCTGGTTATCAATCCTTTTAATTTACTGGGAATCCAGTGGGTAGGAATGAATTATTTTTTCTACTCATATACACGAAAGTAAGGATTTTATGACGGCTTAAATGATGCGAAAATCATTGGAGATGGATACATTTTGAAAAATGTTAAAAAAACTAAAATAAAGTAGATAGCATTCCATTCGGAAAATATCTTCGTGATGTGTACAAATTTTGAATAAAATGCGTATGTTGGTATGCATACAGGGTGTTGCGCACACGCCAAACTTTACTAGGCGATAAAACATCTCAAAATAAGAAAAAATGTCTCCATAAATTTAATAAATACAAAATTAATACAAAAAACACATCCTGATACATTAAAATTAAAACATCATGTATTCTTGATATCTTTTATCACTTTTGACCAAGACTAATCACATAACAAACAGCTGCTACAAAGAGATCTTTTTGTTTTCCCATTTTACTAATGTAGTTGTTTCCTGCAACACCAGCAGTTATTTTTCTTTACGCCTTATGTTATTGTGTCAAATCTGAATATGATAATATTTTTTCAGGCTTGCAATGATGCGGTTTGATGAGCTATCTCTAATGATAAGGGTGATGCCATTAGAAGAACATGCCAGACAATGTTGCATTTAAAATATCATAAGGTTGATGTCAATTCGTTTTTTAAGTTTTACTCGAAAATCAGGCTTTCTTCTAAGAGAGTAGTAATTTGTAGAAAATTGAAAGACGAATCCGAGAATATCATGGTTGTTACCGTAAAGCAGTGGCGTACTATTTTATTTAGAAAAATATGCTATCGATACCCTATACCTCCGCCACTGGAGCATGTAAATTTTAGGGAAAGCCCTCAGATTTTGAACAATGTTTACATAAATACATGTGCCCAATTTCAAATTATTTCACTTACCTACTAGTTTTTAAATTATTTAAAAAAATTAAGAATATTTTTTGAAGTTGAAGTATATTTTTAACGAAGAGTCCTAGATAAAAACTTTATAGGAAAGACTCCCTTTAAAATTCACCAAAGAATACGAGGTGTATTGGTCACAATTTGTAAATCACCCTCCACCTTCAAATTGTCAGTTACGTCTTCCGTAAAAAAAATTGAAAATCGTGTCTAAGGTGAGGTAAATGAGGAAAATAGCCTACTAGCACGTTTCTATGTTGATACAAATCAGTAAAAGGAACTTTTGTAGAAGCCGCTCGCGAGGGCAAACTGGGATGACAAAAACAGTGAATGGTTTTTCTACAAAAAATTTTCCCGTGTCACTGGACGAATAAATGTAAAGCTTTCGGTGTCTGTGGACATAACAGTTTAAAAGTAGACAACACAAGCAATTACGTCATATCTCCGATGACCTGAATGATAAATATGATTTTCTTGATGTGGCTTTTTATTCTGTGTTATCTGTGATGGTGTACAAACTTAATATATTATTCGAAACACAAGAAATTCCTTTTACAAACTCAAAGCGTTCGAACAAAACACTCATCAACTTAAACTCTTACTCATTTGATGCCTTACTATGTCCAAATAGCAAGTGTATTAAAACTTTTGTAAATAAAATTATTATTTTTAAAATTGTGATCAAATTCTATACGTTCATTTTGACTTTTAAACTTTATCTTTATAATAACAAAGAATGGAGAATGAACTTTCCGTAAGATTATGATTAAATTCTTTACACACATTGCATCCGAAAAGTCATTTATCATTAGTAAAAGAATAATTTTAAAAAATTTCAAATACTATTTATACGATAAAAAGGATTTTAATTGATTCTTCCCTGAAATGGTGGGTTTTCATGATAAGTTTAATCATTTACCTGAAACTGGAGAAAAAAGTGTAATTATAACATAAATTTAACTTGAATTTGAATAACTTTTGTACGAGTAGGTTTATCAGAAAATGATGCGGGACATTTTTTTAGAACGTTAAATTCCCTACAACGTTTCGGTCATTTAAGTCCGTCTATTGGTTTTTAAGATATAAAATTCTGAAATTGAAAAAATTTTTCCCTTGTTATTTAAATGGAATATAGAAAATCGCGATGCACCACATCTAAATATTAATATTAAGAGTTCCGATTTTTACAGGCATCTTTTCTCACCTCCCTGAATCTATTTCAGAGGGGATTTTGAAACGATTTTGTTTAATCAGCCTAATGTGCACAATACCGCTCTCTTATCTTGCCCTCCCCCAGCCCTTAAGCTAGCGACGCCCTTGATGTTTATATATTCAGAATTCATCTTCGCTGGTTCTAGGTGTTTCACGTTTAATCTAGGAGTAGATCACTAGGTAACGGCTAACATTTGATACGACTCTCCGCCTACACATCTGAACTCCCATGGGGATGTGAAGGTGTTGGAAATGAGGCCAACTCGCCCACGCATGTACTTTCATGAGGCGTATATATGCATATCTACGTATAGGAGTTTGGGAGTACGGATTTAGTACATACTGCTTTCATCAACAATAAAATATGTGGAAGTACCGTAAGGTGCAATACGGAGAAAAGACATAAACTTTTCAATATATCAAACATTTTTCCGTTTGGGATTTTTGGTTCGACAAAACCAGTTTTATAAAATCAATCTTGACTGACGAATTGTACAAATGCATTTATGTTCTTTTATCAAGTGTCAATAACACGAGCTTTTTTCCAGGTGCAACTATCTCTTCGTTCTCTGCTCTGACTCTCAACCAAGGGACGTCGAAACCGAGACATACCAAGTTCACTTCTTCCACAACCGATTCGGGAAGCGGTTCCCTTGTGACTCCCACTTCGAGTTCCGCCTCCCCCAAAGATAACAACTCCGGAGTGGCTTACTACAGGTACATGAACGGCAAGAGTGGTACCACTTGCATCCTGCTCAAAACTGACGCTGTCGTTGAGGTGAGACCAGGGACTAGTAGGATTGTTTCAGATTTGTATCTCTTCGGCATATTGGCGTACTGTTTTTTTATTATTTTTTCTTTGTGAGAACGACTCTTTGTAAAGTTTGTCATTAATTATATGAGAATTAATAACCGTTGTACTATTTTTGTGCTGTATTTTGTGTCTTCTTGGTACTTGGGTCCAATAACAGTCAGATAACTATTTTAAACACTGCAAAATATTAAAAAGTACACGTATTTTTCACTTAAATTATGTAAAGGACTGAGGAAGTGAAATATGAATGGAGTAAGTTGGTATACAGGACGGGTATGAACCTTATTCTCTTTTTTTTTAGGACAAAACCTTTGTTTTGTGTTTTGAAATGTCTTTATATTAACGAAATTGGGAATAGGGGGTTTGGCGATACTCGAAAATAAACATAGGTATTCTTTTGAAGCTTTAGTTACATTTTTTACACTTAACTATGATTCATTGTGGGCAAATATTGAAAGGTGTTTCAAAAATCAGTAATTGTACATGAAAGGATTAGTGGCCACAATTTATCGAAATCGGATAGCTTTTTTGATAACTGATAACTCATCTCTTTTATCGTTCATCACACCTGCACAATCGAGCGCAAAACAGTTATTTATCTTCAGAAACAGCTAGAATACAAGCAGTACTCAATGTATTTGTTTTCTTAACTGCATGTGTGTGATTTATTTCTATTTACCTCTAAACTTCATCGTTGATAAAGGCCTATTAATAATAACAATATGTTATCTTCAGATTGAATTTGAACAATTGTAGATATATACTTTGGGAAAATCAGGTTTATTACTAAATACAGTTTTGTAATTTAAAAATACTTTTAGGTTTTTATGAGCATGACTTATGTCAAATTGCAACATCAAAATGAATTCAAATTGTGTAGTTGCATCATTTTATTCAAGCTAATGCATCTCTATTGTTATTGAAGATAGAAAGTTGCAATTTTCATAAAAGTTGACCATTCTTTGGAGATAAATCTTTAATTTAATACAGATTTTCGTTGATTTTTTATTTTAAATATTAATATTTTGATATTTTCGGTGATTTTTTTTAAACGTCATTATTTTGTAGATTTCTTCATTTAATTAAAATTCACTGGCATATCTATGTAGGTACTTATATTTTTAATAACTGCTTTCGACTTATAAGTGAATATTACACATTTTTTTTAATGGAAACTATGGTGGTTAAAAGGAGGCTACTCTTCACCTTCCATGCTTGTCTTAAAAAATAAAAAGGTTACAGCTATTTCTTTTTTCCAAATTTATAAATGGGCTCTGATTAAATGCTATTCTAAACGGAGTTTAGTGTCATTGTTATATATAGCTGGCTGTAGAGAACACCAGTATTACTTATTTATTTATTTAAAATTGAAACAGACATTACACTTATCCCAAATATGTATCTGGTTTTTCCCCATAGCCAGCTATATACAATATCCAATGGCACATAACTTTGTTTTGTAGTACATTTGTTTTCAGTCAAGGCCAACTCCGTCTCCCTTCAGATCACCCCCTTTTTAACTAGGCCATGGTCAACCAAATTTCCATTTAAAAAATATAACATTGATCTATAAATCAAGAGTTGCAGTTATTATAAGACAAAGTATACGCTACTGGTTTTTACGCACGTATATTTAATTTTTAGATAAAGTTGGGATTATAACAGATAATCGTGAAGAAATTTTGATTGTTTCTACCGATCAACGATAACATAATTTAAGTGCTGCTTAAAATACCTATAATAAGTGTTTCGATTTTGTTAATGTTTTCCCAATATCAGTTTATTTGCTAATGGAAGTTAAAAGACAATATATATGTGTTCTATTTCCGGTAACTTTTCTTGTTTGCTTATTACGGTCTATAATGGTGAAACTAACAAAAAATATCGATTGCACCTTTGCCTTTGACTCTATGCTAGACGCACGTCAAGGATCAAAGTAAATATCTTTTGTTGTGCTACATTTTACTTTAAATAGTCTGTTTGTTCAATAATTTTTCTTTAGCCTCACGATCAAGAACTAATTTTGTCAGTAGTAACAAAGGAGCAGTTTGCAATACAAAACAGAGTTAGTTAATGTTGTAGAGAAAATGGCGAAAAAGGTGCAAAGGTTGGGGAATAAGTAGCTCTCAACGCAGTTTTTGTACTTCTATGTGTCTGTTTGTTTAGTAGGTCGACTAGGTGGATGTAACATATTAAAAACCAGTTTTTGTACAATAATCCATTCGGTTTATTCAATAACAGGATATGCTTTGCATTTAAATAGTAAAATAATATATAAGAAAGGTAACGAAGCTAAGTTTATATCACAGTTTGACCAAATTAGTATTGTCCGCAAGTTTTAGATGTGCAGAATTAATTTTCTCTTATATTTAAGTAACAACAGACTGAATGTTCTCTTTTATCAGGTCAAATTTAAGCTGCACGAGATAGAAGAACAAGCGGATTCCTATATACCAGAGAAAGCTCTAATAGAAGGAAATTGCAAAAATGAAGATGCCCAGTTTATGAGAATCTCATGGACTGGCTACAGTTTGGTTATATCCTTCGCAAAGGTAGGCACAATTCCATTACAATGATATCAACTGTTTGCTGGTTGAAATTTATGGGGAATGTTTGTCAAATTTAACTTTTCCAATTTACTACACCCTAGGCAATTTTAATGACCCGATCTCTTTATGATTTAGATTAATGTGTTTACATAGTAGTATACCGCACCTTCTTCTTCAATTACTCCTCCTCACACGACATTTCTGAGCGGGATAAAAATAATGAAATTCAATTTTTTTGTGGTTTAGACTATTTTAATTATTTGCTTAAGTTCATTATTCAGCAATTCTTACCCAATTTAAGGTGGAATACCTACTCTTCCAATGTTTTTGTTCATCTAAATATGTTGTTAATTATTAATATTGTAGACACCTGGTGGCGAGAGATGGTACATCAACAATTTGGAGCTTACTGCTAGTCCGGATCTGTCACAATTGCATGGAATTACCACACAAGGTAAGCAAGGTTTTGATATATTTTATCGATATCGATTTTTTCGAGATTTGTTTACATTTTCCTGGTTATTATCAAATTCTTTTTTGGGTTCTTGTTTTACGCATGAAAGATTTCTGACTTCAATAGGGAGTGTTCAGAGAAGTTACTAGTCTTATAATTAATCTTCATGTTTTATCGATGTCTTATTAGTTTCATCAGAAGATGTTTTCTTCAAAAACTAAAACTCAGACTTATCCATAATGTAACCTGACTTGGAGTAATTGATTGTCAATAGAGTAGGTTTATTCTTATAAATCATATTTTAACCCCATAAAAAATATTTGAATAACCTTAGATCTGGTAATCACGCTGTCCACTTTATTGGCTGGATCTCTTTCAGCTTTTCACCGGTTTGGAAAAAATTCAAACATTTGCGATTTATCCAGTAAATAATTGTGCTTATAAACATGACACATGAAGGAGATCCCGCATATCATTAGGCAGCTAATGGTGCAGAATCTCTGATATTTTTAACTAATTGTTAATGAATAATTCAATGACGACTTAGTTTTGACATGGATAACGGTTCAAACTTCAGTTTAAAAAAAAAATATCGCAAGTGTATCGCAACATAATGATATTAATACTAAATATGTAATAACAAAAACAACCCACTTACTTGAACGATCAGCATTTAAAATAATAGATGAGATTAGCTGATATCTGAGGTTAAAGGTACAGCTTATTATACAGTACCTCAGGAATAACGATTTATCCACAAAAACCAGCCACATTTTTTTACAGGAAATGATAAATCATTGACGCCATGTATAAATCTTCCCATACATTAATGTTGAAAAAGTTTCAGTAAATGAAATGCTCTAGCTCTAATAAACTGCGTACGAAGTATCCGAAAGTCGTATCACAATTATACAGGGTGGCCAAATGAAAACGAAACAGAGCCATTTTCAGGAACTGCGTCAAGATTGTAGAAAAACGCTCAGATATGTCGATTTTAGATTAAAGGGGGACATTCTTTGCTGGTATTTTTGTGCTCCGCCACTTTCACCCCCAAGCAAGGATAAGCATCACCCCAAAATATTTAAATTGCATTGGGGTCGAGTAATATTTCTTTTAAAAGTTCTTACAATTCTCTTTACAACAGACTTTAAATTTTATAATTTAATAATATTTAATATTAATATTTTGGGGTGATGCTTACCCTTGCTTGGGGGGGGGGGTGAAAGTGGCGGAGTCAAAGATACCAGCAAAGAATGTCCCTCTTTAATCTAAAATCGACGGGTCTGAGCGTTTTTCTACAATCTTGACGCAGTTCCTGAAAATGGCTCTGTTTCGTTTTCATTTGGCCACCCTGTATTTATATTTTTCAGGAAAATCCGCCATCAAACTGTACCACAAGCAAATGCTGATCCCTACGCCTGTAGGCAGATCGTACGCGTGCGACGAAATGGAAATCAACATGGAGACCGACGAAGACGACCATCCTCCACCAGGGCTGCGCGGTACAGTGATTTTCAGACTCCTTCAGGTGCAGCCTTTCATGTACAGGGGTGAGACCTTCGAACCGGCCTTCGAGTGTAGAGCCCAAACCTTCGTCAGGGATGAGACTGCTCCAATTGCAGTGGGTTCCACTCTGGCCATAGCCGTCTTGATGACCATTAGCGGGTACGGTATTTATCGATATTTCAAAGTAAAGAATGTCCAGTACAACACGATGGAGTAAGGGTTGGGTTTTTGTTAATGGTGATATTTTTCTGAACAGTATCCGTTTTTGTCATATCGTACTTTGTACACACTCAACTTTAAAATTTAGTCTTTTTTATCCCTATCGAGAGAAAACTGAAAGGTCAGTAAAAAATTAAATGAGCTAGGGTATCGCAATGCTTATGCTGCGGATAGTTGGCTTATATTTTTTTTGTAATTACGTTTTATATTAATCAATCAAAATTATCTGAATAGGTGAGCGTATTTTTCTGATAATTTACATATTTTTTTTATATTTTTCGGCGTGGTCAGTCAATTGTTATAAACAAAAAAGTTGTAAAAAAAAATTACTCGCCGAATGGCTTTGAAAACAGAACAGAATTTTTTTCGTTGTAAAACGGACCAAAATAAACACTTGTTGTTCTTTGACAAAAATTCGAAAAATGCTTCGTTTCCGAAATATTTACAATTTAATGTGAAAAAAGTGACGAAATCGACAAACTTTCGGAATTTTTTCTCAAAAACTACTGAACAGATTTTAATTCTAAAAAAAGCATAATAATCGTCCGATTTTCTACTTTAAGATATATTTTTTTTGGTATGGGTCAATCAAGAAAATTATGATAACACTTCAAATTTAAATTTTCTTTTTACAATATCTTGGATTAGTTTATATTTACAATAAACATTATTATGATTTTTTTAAATCGATGTATATTAACAGTACAAATGTTCAAAAGATCATTTTGTTTGGTTTTGTAGCCGGAGTAAGGTTTTTGCAAGTAATAAGTAAAATTTAAATATTCGATTTTTGGTTTTATAAATGGCTAAAATTCACTTGAAAGTTATACCAAAACTAAACTAAATAAGCTTTTTAAATCGTAAATTAGCCTAATAATAATAATTGACCTAGCGGTCTCGAAAAATAAAAAAGTTATTGGATAATTTATTGTATAAGGATAATTATTTTATTTTTATTTTACAAAAATATTAAGAGCAATAAAAGTATATTAATTTCTTTTTTATTTAATTTTTAAATAATTACGATTTAAAAAGCTTATTTAGTTTAGTTTTAGTATAACTTTCAAGTCAATTTGAGCCATTTATAAAACCAAAAATCGAATATTTAAATTTTACTAATTACTTGCAAAAACCTTACTCCGGCTACAAAACCAAACAAAATTATCTTTTGAACATTTGTACTGTTAACATATATCGATTAAAAAAATCATAATAATGTTTATTGTAAATATAATCTAATCCAAGATACTATAAAAAGAAAATTTAAATTTGAAGTGTTATCATAATTTTCTTTAAGACTTTTTTTTATTCGCTTTAGACTTTCAATAAAATGATTGACCCATGCCAAAAAAATATATCTTAAAGTAGAAAATCTGACGATTATTATGCTTTTTTTAGAATTAAAATCTGTTCAGTAGTTTTTGAGAAAAAAATTCCGAAAGTTTGTCGATTTCGTCATTTTTTTCACATTAAATTGTAAATATCTCGGAAACAAAACATTTTTCGAATTTTTGTGAAAGAACAAAAATTTTTTATTTTGGTCCATTTTAAAAATTGTTTTCAAAGCAATTCAGCGAGTAATATTTTTTTTACAACATTTTTGTGTATAACAATTGTCCGACCACCTCGAAAAATATTTAAAAAATATGTAAATTATCAGAAAAACACACTAGAAAATAAAAAAAGTTTCATGCTGTAGGTTTTTGCTTTAAAAATTTTGTCGGTTACCTTCATTTAGAAGCATCTTTTTAGGGGTGAACCGCTCGCCAAGAAATACATCACGATCATGGAGAGAGATTCAAATTAAATATATAAATTAGTGCTTAAATTTTCAATTTCTAATTTAGTGATAGTCTTTAAAACGAGGTAGATGAAGCAGAACCCTCAATATTCTGTACCAAAAGGGTAAGGCAATTTCCTTTTTGTTCTAGTTCTAAAAATCGTCAATAATATAAAACAAAAGATCTTGTGCATACTTTCCACGACACCGTTCTAGTTGTTATATGATGCACCATAAAAAAAGGACATACAGGGTGTGGCATTTAACACTCCCGCTGTCAATATATTTATTTTAGTTCGGTTGTTAGGTCCTTCGAATAGCTTCAAATTGCAGTTAGAATTGTTAGTTCAAATCTTTCTGTATATAGGGTGATTCAGAATTTATACAAAAAAAAATTCTGGATGTACAGGGGACTCTTAAAAATTCAATTTTGAAAAGAAAATATCAAAAAGGGCAGTTCGAAAATGATTTAAAAATACACTTCTTCACGGTACTGGAAACTGGTCCAGTGTAAAACCTGACCTGGCACAATATGACCGTCATGGCAGCAGTGATAAAAACTTGAAATAATTTTGCAAGGAAAGGAATAAACGGAATTTTATAGCACCTATTTTATATCACCATAATACAAATGTTTTTTAAAACGATATCCATCAACTCCGAGTTGCTATACGCGCAAGCCATTTTTGACACTAACTACTAAAAAAACTATTGTAAACACTACGGCAACGACGACTGTAAAATCGGATTTCAGTATTCGAAGTCACTGAGGCCATGCGTGTTAGGAATGGTGCTAGAGACTACAGCTGTCCAGCTATGTAATGGTCGAAAGTACTACAATAATTTTTCTCTCGGAAACTATAAGGATTTTACAAAAATTTTTTTACGATATTGGCTTCATTTCTCATACCGCATCTATCCCCCATTTTTTTGGATAAGTTGTGAATCACCAGAGAGCTTGGCGATGCTAAAAAAAAAAAAATTGATTCCTGGAACGTGGAGATGCGGTCCGCGTCAGATATTGGCAGCGGGAGTGTTAAATGGCACACCCTGTATATCTTTTGAGCTAAAGGTGCTTTACTTTAAAAATTGTCGAAGGAAATGTAATTATTTTTGAAGGTAATTTGTTTGGGAATGGGGTCAGTTTTTAAAGGAAACTAGTTTATTGGTTAGTCGACGTTTCGGCTATCGTCGACTAACCAATAAACTGGTTTTCTTTAAAAACTGACCCCATTCCCAAACAAATTACCTTCAATTTAATCACTGGGTCATGAAAATACTCTGTAATTATTTTTGTTTCGGTAACGCTTTTCAGAATTTCGTCTACTAAAATAATTATTGAAATGAAAAAGGAATTAAATGTTTTCGGGCCTTTGTTTTGTCAGAATATTGTAAAGAAACATATGTACTTCTTAAATTGTCTATTGTGATATACATTTTGTTAACGCTGATTTTATTAATACTCGGCTTCTAGTTATATGACCAAAGAGTGAGCATAGAGTGAATCTCATATGAAAAATACTCCCTAGTGGTAGATCTTTGAAGCAATTTGTATGAATTTACCTCTGAAAAAGTACTAACATACCTGTGCGAAATATATCTTGTTATATCTCACCCATACTCACACCATGTCTCTAGATAGACATCAAAATAGCCAGAACGTTTCTCAGTCGTCTCATCTATGACATACTGACGGTAATTAATATGTTCAAAACCGGTATATGTCTGGTGGATATGATCTTAGCTGTCTACTAGATATTGTGGGTGTAACTCAAGGTCAGGGTAATTGTTCCCCACGATATCATTATTTGTTAGTATTTAGTTTGATTTTCAACGTTGGTAGTTTTTTGAAATTATACAATATTTCTAGTCGTTATAGTTACATATTTATAATGCTCGATTATATGAAATGCATGGGATATGTCCGTGTTAGTGCGGAAAGCAAAATTTAATTATCACATATCTTTAAAAGTAATTTTAGACGATACAATTCACCAACGTTTTGATGCATATTCCTGATATCAATGCTGTATGAAACTTTTTGTCATAGGTAGTCAATAAATAACATAACTGGTTTCTATATAAGATTAAAACTTAGGTAGGTAGCTCATTATTATGAAATAAGTAGTTTTTATATAACACGAAGCAGTATTATTTCGCTAATTTCTTAATAATTAATCACAAACGGTGAAGCTCAATTTTTTTTTGTTCTAGACACTTATACATACAGGGTGTAAGAAGTTTGACTGCCATTACTTCAGCATTAGATAGAGTAATCATAAATGAATAAAAAAGTTGCATATTACAGAGGCGTAAGATTAACAGTATTCAAAATACAGCGATTATTAATATTGGGGAGTTTCATCACAACGTGACAACATCGCTTAACCTAACACTATACAGCTGATCCATACCACGTGTGCACGCTGCAGACTTGTCCTACGGAAAAAATGTAGTAAACTATTATTGTGAAACATTTAGTAAATTTCAAGACAATTAATTGTTTTCCCAATAAAATAAAATTATCGATAATTTGTAGTACGAAGATAATGCTGTGCTTAAATTTCAGCTCGAATTTTAGTAATTATGAATCTCTTAAAGCAGGAAATTAACTTTTAATCAAATTATGAATTTGAAAAATATGTAATTAAAGTACCCAAAGATTCAGGTCGTCCAAATAATCATACGTATTAAATTTAGGTACTTACCAAAAAGCACAACGCACAAGTACAAAACAAACTACAACATATGCTCAAAATGTCCACCACCATTTTCGATGCTAATTTGTTTTAGAACTAAGCATAAAGAAGTTTAAAAAAGTGATAAACATTGTATTTTCTGGTGTTCTATGCACGCAGTTGTCAATATTCGATCTTTTATACATCAACTTGGAGATTTTGATCATTTTTTTTTCTGGGAAATGGTTGAGTTTAGGACCCATGTAATAGGTATAGGTGTTTTTTGTTTATTTTAATATATTCTATCGTCTGTTATCGTCTGTTAAAATTAAGGCAGTCAAACTTCTAGCACCCTGTATATTTTAACATATCGTGTATCTACTTGCAACAGATGGATAATTAAAGGTAATTAAAATAATTTCAATTGCATGTTTTTTTAAGTTAAGGTCAATTTAGAAAAATTGACGAAAATGAGACACCATAATTTTGTAAAACAAAATGTAGATTTGATCATTTATCAAAAAATAAAGTGATAAATTTAGTCTGCTTGGAATATTACCAAAACGGACCAGAAAGTCTTAGATTTCAAAGATTCCAAATTAGATAAGCGAAAGTATCTCATAAAATACAATTCTAAAGCAAGTAATTAAAAAGTATTTTGAAAATAACGCCAATATTGATGTACCGTGCACTTTTCACAAATGTACATACATAGGATACTTCAATCTTTGAGTGAAATGTTTAGCTTCCTTGATTTACTCCACCTAA